TTGTGTGTGTGTGTGTGTGTGTGTGTGTGTGTGTGTGTGTGTGTTTGTGTGTGCATGTGTGAGTGTGTTGCGTGCACAAGCGCGTGTATGTGAATTAGTGAATGTGAGTATTCACGTCTGAATGAGTGCATGAACTTTTCCAAGTATACACAAACAACTACACAAACTAAAAACAGAGTGCACGTTTTGTAAACGTCATTAATCATTATACTATGTTTAATTAATTACGTTCACTTAGGTGCAAATATACAATAGAATAAAATAACAGTGAACTAAAACTATTTCAGTGGGACTGCTTTTAAAAACTTTCTGGGACTTTCTGGGACTTTTTTGATCTTGTTTTGTTTGTTTGTTAGTTAGTTTGTTTTGCTTTATAAGTTTTTGTTAGCTTTAATTTTCGTCCAAAGTTCACTTTTGGGCTAGACCTAGTTTTCAGCACAAAGAAAAAAGACCACGTCCCTCTCGCCACGTCACTCTTGGCCGACCCATTTGTGGTAGGGCTGGGCAATGAGTCGCTTTTGCAAAATCCGGATAATATTAATATGTTAGTACACCCCTTCTGCAAATAGTATGCTCCGAACCGCTTCGGCAAATGGGTTAGAACCACTTCGACAAACGGGTGCACCCACTTCGCGGCAAACGGGGCTCAGGAAAAAGAGTAAGAGTTTGAATTCAGAAGAAGTTTCATTGAGAATTATCCGGTTATCCTTATAGACTATCCGGATTTTGCCCACCTCTACTTTGAGGCTTTGTTGAGTCGCTGTCGTCAGCACAGGGCAGGAGGACAGAGGTCGTGAGGTGGTTAACCCGACCGATTGCATCAGGCCCCAACCCTAGCAGTAGCAAGCTCGACGACTTCCCTAAAAGAGTGCAGAGAGCGAGAGAGGGGGGAGAGAGAGAGAGAGAGAGAGAGAGAGAGAGAGAGAGAGAGAGACAGACAGACAGACAGACAGACAGACAGACAGGCAAAACTGTTGATATCCCTAATCCATGATACCAGGATTAGAGTAGAGACACAGAACAATACATGAAGATGTACACACTTTTGTTTGTTTGAGTGGAGAGAATCACACTAACAAAATAATGATACAGACAGACAGGCAGACAGGCTGATAGACAGACAAACAGCCACCATGCCAGCCAGCCAGCTTGACAGTCAGTTTTAGTAAGCGTTTTACGGTACTTGCAACACAATAAGGTCATATAAGTGCCGAAGAACAGATGTGTTAAAGAGAAAAACGTAC